GTGAAATTATACTTAAAGTTGAGGTCAAACCTCTGCTCATCATAAACTAATTTTTTGTGGTAGAGTTTATTTTTAAATATAAATATTTTACATATTAACATTAAATTAAATATTATAAAAAATAGATCTGAGTTATAAAAGAAATTTGAATAAGGTGTCATCAATTGAGCTGGCATATAAAATGAGACAGGATGGAGAGTATATGAAAGGATGCGTGTATGAGATGAGATTGGAGCAACAAACATATATATAAGAGTTGAAATGTATTGATGGGTATATTGGGACCGAAGCGGGAATCAGAAATCAGAGTCTCACGTGGTGTTAGAAAAAGACTAGTGAGGGCGTCAAACCCCCGTGATTTACGGCTATCCTCACGTTATTTTAGCCCATTCACTATCTCACATCTACAATTAATTAGTCCACTTCAGTTCCGGCCTTCGCAATTCACATTATTATGACCCCTCCGCATGCCCATTGCTCACGCCTAGCCCCATCTCTGTCTGCCCTCTCGGCTTCCAACTTCCCTCAAACAAAATTCAACATATATAATCAAACCCGCAGGCCTCAGCCAAGTAATTTGTAGCTCAATAACATCTCTCATCTTAGTAGATATAGTGCATCCATAGTTCAATTTTTATTTTTATTTTATTTAAGTACTATTAACTACCACTCAAAGTGTCAATCGTTATGCTATGGACCCGTGTCCAGCATGCACGCTGGACACAGGTAACAGTGCCGTTAGGCATTGTTATCTTTATTTTATTTATTTATTTATTTATTTATTTTTTAAATTTCAGACCGCTTCGTTATAGGAGTATATGTTCATAATTTTATTACTATATGTTCATAATTGTAAGTTCATAATGTCAGAGCTCTATGTTCATAATTCCATAACTGTACATTCATACTTCCATAACTGTACATTCATAATTCCGTAACTGTACATTCATAATTCAATAACTGTAACTTCATAATTTTCGAAGCTCTTTGTTCACAATTTAGAGCTCTATGTTTATAATTTTATCACTATATGTTCATATTGTAAGTTCATAATGTCAGAGCTCTGTGTTCATAATTTCATAACTGTACATTCATAATTGCATAACTGTACATTCATAATTCCGTAACTGTACATTCATAATGCAATAACTGTAAAATCATAATTTTCAAAGCTCGATGTTCACAATTTTAGAGCTCTATGTTCATAATTTTATCACTATATGTTCATAATTGTAAGTTCATAGTGTCAGAGCTCTGTGTTCATAATTTTATAACTTACATTCATAATTCCATAACTGTACATTCATAATGCCATAACTGTACATTCATAATCTCATAACTGTACATTCATAATGGCACAAACGAATAACACCGTTAACGGCACTAACGACGAGACAAAATCAATTTTTTTAAAAAAAAACTGAAATGACGCGTTTTCCCTGAAAACGACGTCGTTTTGGACTCGTGCCCACAATGCATTGTGGACACGAGTCCACTGCATAATTTGCGTCAAAGTGTCAATACTTCATTGTCGGGCTGAGATGTGATCCTATATAACCTTCCCTGAAGGAACCTAGTGGGTGTAGTGCATTATCGGGCTGAGATTTGATCCTATAACCTTCCTTGAAGGAACCCAGTGGGTGTAGTGCACTCACTGTTCAATTTTTATATTTATTTTATTTATTAAGTATTATTAACTACCGCTCAAAGTGTCAATACTTCATTACTGGACCGGGATTTGATCCTATGACCTTTCCTGAGGGAACCCTAGTGGGTGTAGTGCATTCACTATTCAATTTTTATTTTTATTTTATTTGAGTACTATAAACTACCGCTCAAAGTGTCAATACCCCATTACCGGGGTTTGATCTATGACCTTCCTTGAGAGAAAACCACAGAAGTACTAACTAACCACAAGGTGCTTCCCGTGCGGCGGAATTTATATATATATATATATATATATATATATATATATATATATATATATATATATATATATATATATATATATATATATATATATATAATTCCGCCGCACCGCCGCACAGAAAGACCCCGCCGCATTTGAGGAGAAAGTTCAAATGCGGCGGAATTTTAGAATACACCAACAGTGTTAGGGAAACACACCACAATGAAATGTAAAAAAACACAAAAAAATACACAACAGACCCAAAAAAACACACCACATAACTCATCACACCCGAATGGTGTATTTATGAACACTGTATGGTGTTTTTACTCACACCTAATGGTGTGTTTTTGGTGATGCGTACATAATTTTTGTGTGTTTTTGTGGTGCCCGCATTTTCTTAATGTTGATGGTGTATATTTGTTAAACTATTGGTGACGCCGCACCGCCACACCACTGCACCTAAGGACACCGCCGCACCTGAACTCCCATATATATATATATATATATATATATATATATATATATATATATATATATATAATATCATAATTTTAGTTTGTTGGGCTACTGCTTGAATTAATGCCCCGGCCAACACACCCGTGGAACAATTGTTATGCCATGGACCTGCGTCCAAAACGACGTCGTTTTGCTTAACAACGATGCCGTCTAAGTTAAAAAAAATTGTTTCCTTCCTTGCCATTTGTCTTCAGAATTCGTTCCTCTATATTCACAATTTTAGAACACTATATTCACAATTTTAGAGCTCAATATACAAAATTACAGAACTGTACTCAATATTTACAATTGCATAACTCAATATTCACAATTACAAAACTCTAATCTATATTCACAATTACATAACTCTATATTCAACAGTATAACACAATTTTTGAACTCTATATTCACAATTTTTGAATTCTATATTCACAATTTTTTAACTCTATATTCACAAAAAATAAATAAAAAAAATATCATTGGCTGGAGGAAACGGTACCACTAACGACACCATTATTTTAAACGTGCGTTTTAGACCTGGGTCCACAACATAATTTGCCCCATGGGATCCAATTCATAAAATATTATATGGGGGTATGAATTCAATCATTAATTAAAACAAAGACTTTTTAAGGAAACAAGACAATTAATTGTTTTCAAAAAGATAATTAGATGACAATTAATCAGAGGGCCTGGCTATAATTTTCTTGCCTTTTTATTTTAATTTTTAAGGGAAAATAACACTTTTTTTTCCCTGAGTTGTATACTTATAATATTTTTTCCCCATAAATTTTTCAAGTGGCTATTTTTCTCTCTGAAATGTTAAATGGACAGATTTACCCTTAAAATAAATATTTCTTTTATTTTTCTTCTCTAAAAAATTATGAGCACAATTTAGTTCAAACCAAACAGACACTATAGCAACCAAATCGAAATATTTCAATTACAATTTAGAATCGAAACCCGATATTTAGAGTTTATTAAAATCGCGAACCGGAACGACCGGTTCATGTTTCGAACTGAAAAAAAAATAAAATACATTTATTGTTGAATTTAGACTATTTTAAAATAAAGACGGTTCAAAATCGCGAACCGGATCCGGAACCGTCGGTTCACGGTTCAGGATCCAATTTTTTCGACTCATAATTTTAATAAACTGAAATTCAAATATTGTATTCTGGATCTGAATCATAACCGGAAGTTTTTAATTCGATTGCTATAATGTTCGGTTCAGTTCGAACCGAACCGTGGTCATCCCTACGTATATGCAATAATTTGTTGGAGAAGAAAAAATAAATAAAATATTTACTTTAAGGGTAGAAATGTCACTTTAATATATCAGGGGGGAAAAACCGCCACTTTTAGAATAATTGAGGGGGCTAATGTGCTTACCTGAATAATTTAGAGAAAAAAGGTGTTATATATAACTCATGGAGAAAAATTGTAATTTTTCCTTTTTTTTAAAAAAAATATATAAAACTTGATTTAAATTGAGGGTTCGGACCCTACCACATACAATATGAAATTAGCCTCGCTCCCAAAATTTGAACAAGAGTTAGGGTTGGACTTTTTGTGCGCAATAGTGAGAAGTGTATAGCTTAATGTGGGTATCAACATTGGACAGATTGGATTTACCACCTTATAGATTTATGGACAAATTCATGGGGTTTAGAATATGGTATGGCAAATTTAGGATACTTGGGTTAGAAAAAAAAAAAAAACAATTAGATGACTAAAACAAAGGAAAGAATTGCCTGAACCATATATGCAGTGGACGGTGGGTCAAATGATAATATTTGTTGAGAGTACGAAGTTTGTAACCCTGATGATGGGTGCTATTTATACAGTTTAATTGACGAATCTACTAATCTAGGTTATTTATATTATGACATACTTATTAGGTCATTAAGCCATTACCATCTTGGCGAATTTGCATTGGAAGTAGTTATTCTAATGGTGATACTACAAATTGGTTCGGTGTATTTTGTACGTATATGTTTTCATTGTTTTGTAGGGAAATTGTATGAAGTATGTTGCTGTTAGTTATAATAATATATTATGTTTTATTATATAGTTTATATTTGTGGCTATTGAATAAGTTTGTTTATTCTAGTCTACACTTCAAGAGAGATTAGTGTTAGCTTTCTTTTAGAACTCTATCCTTGTAATCTCTTTCTGATTGATTTTGAATTTTGAATCAACGTTCTCTCATCTGGTATCAGTAGTGTTAGGTTTCTCACCTTAAAATTTCTCTCTCAACCTACGATGTCTACGAACTCCTCTGAGCGTACGGTCACAACCACCACCGTTCCCGCTCAGGCCACCACCAACACACTCAACGCCGCTCACCACCAGGAATTTTCTATTTTGGCGTACACAAATTGTGCCATTCCTACGAGGTCATGGGTTGCTGGGGTACATCGACGGCGAGCTCCCGTGTCCGCCAGCCACCACCACCGCCACTCCACAGTCCGGTGACTCCACTGTGGCCGCCGGCAGCTAGTCCACGATTCCGAATCCGGCCTTCGCCGCGTGGGTTCAACAGGATCAGTCGATCCTTTCCTTGCTTATCTCGTCGTTATCTGACGAGGTAATGCACCTTGCAGTTGGCCGGAACACCTCACGCGAAGTCTGGCTCTCCCTCACGTCGGCGCTGGCATCCACGACACACGCCCGATGTCTTAGTCTGCTTGGTCAGTTCCAGACCTTACGGCAAGGCAACAGTACTACGGCAGAGTACCTGGGGAAGGCACAATTGATTGTTGAGGCTCTCTCCCTCGCCAGCTGGCCGTTATCCTTGGACGAGCAAATCCTATATGTTCTCCGGGGTCTTCAGCCGGAGTTCCGTTCAATGGCCTCACTATCACAGGCACTCCGATCAGCCTTCCGCAACTCTCCGATGTCCTGCAGGCGCAGAAGTTCATCCATTCAGACGACTTCCCGACGATGGACAATCCAGGCGCAATTGGGAACCCGACGGCGTTCTTCGCTGGTCCCGGCAAGCAGCATGGCGGCGATCCACATTTCGGCAGACGACATTCCTCGAACGGTAATCAAGGTCGCAGCAGAGGCCGTGGGAGAGGCGATCAAGGCCGCGGTCGCGGCGGCACTCCACGGTGTCAAATATGTCGGAGTCACGGGCACACCGCCGTGTACTGCTACAAGCAGTACGCCGACCGTCCTTCCCCGAACGCCAACATGGCAGTTTCCGGCGACGCAGTTGCAGATGTACTGGCCGACGCCTGGTTTTCGGATACAGGAGCCTCAGCTCACACTACGCCCGACGAACACATGATGACTGACTCGGATGCCTACACCGGCGGTGATGTTCTTAAAGTCGGCAACGGCGCATGTTTGGATGTATCCCGTGTTGGTCATGCAATTATCCCATCCGAGTCTAAATTCTTAAATATGTCTAATGTATTACACGTCCCAAAGTTGTCGTTACCCCTATTGTTGGTTCACCGATTTACTAACGAAAATAATGTCTACTTTGAATTTCATAAAAACTTGTTTGTTGTGAAGGACTCCATCACCAAGGCGTTTCATCTTAAAGGATCCACTACGGGTGGCTTGTACAAATTGTTGGTGCCACGGTCCCACTTTTCTTTTCTCACCGCAAGGGCGTCCCCCACAGTATGATATCAACGATTGGGTCACCCGCATAAACAAGTCCTCCAGCGTATCTTAAAACACTGTCCGATCACTCCAAATAAAGCCTGTTCGTTTGAGTTGTGTTCGGCGTGTCAGCTTGGCAAGTCGGAGCGATTTCCTTTAGATAGGGTTCCTAATTCTAGTTCACATGTTTTAGAATTGCTGTATACGGACATTTGGGGTCCGTCCCCTATTATTTCGGATTCTGGCTATCGTTATTTTATTCTCTTTGTAGACGATTATTCCCGTTTTTGCTGGTTTTACCCCTTACGGTTAAAATCAGACATATATAAAACTTTTGATTTGATTCGAGTGATGGTAGAACGACGGTTTTCGCGTTCTATCAAAGTCATTTAGTCCGATTTAGGGGGTGAATACCGTCGCTTACATAAGGTTTTTGAATCTCTTGGAATTATACACAGACAATCATGTGCGTACATACACGAACTAAACAGGCGAGTTGAGCGCTAGAATAGACATATTGTTGAAACCGGTTTGGCACTTCTTGCTGCGAGCTCGGTCCCGATAAAACACTGGAACTATGCCTTTGAAACCGCAACTCACCTAATAAATTGTATGCCGTCTTCTGCTATTCAGTTTCAAATTCCCTACTACCGTCTATACGCAAAACACTGTCACGGGGCGATATTTTCGACTTATCGGACCCGTGCGGCGTCTATACTTGCATAGGCAAATACTAGACCAGCCTGACTCAAAACCAGTGATCCTTATCGGAGAGGGTGCGACTCGTAAAGTAATCGGAAAGGAAGGCTTATTATTACAATAAAATAAGTCCCAACGGTTACAATAGCAAAAGGGGAGGACGTACACGCTGCTTAGGCCCTGAATTACTTAGAAAACTCTCGTCGTAAGGGACTGCTTATTTATGTGCTATGTCTCAGCAACAAGCAAGCAAGAACCGAGTTGGGGATGGGGGAAATGAGACCTATTTATAATGTTTGCTGCAGGAGGGGCCGAAGAGACACGTCCCATCGCCTCCCAGCTGACTCTTCGCTGCCTTGGACGGTGCTAGATTGCGGCTGGAGCGGTTAATGCAGGAGTTAATCCTTTGGCGGCTGCTCTGCGTCCCTTCCTCTTCCGTAACGGCTGCAGGATTGCGGCTAGGCTTATGAACGGCTTTGGACGCGCTGCTGTTGCTCCGTTGCATCTCGGTGTCTTCGGAAATGTACCAAGTTGTCTCCCAAACATGTGTCACGCTGGTAGGGCCTGTTACTTGGGCGTCGAGGTCCATTCGTAGGGCGACAACATATGCTAACGTGTTGGGACTGCTCTGTTGGGGCGGAAACCTCAGCGAGTGCTTTAGATTTGTTCGCGGGAAGCTTCCAGGTGTCACACCCTCCCCCACTGAATCCTGTGCCGACCTCGGCACTGCCCTTGTCCCCGTAAGCGTTCTCTAATATCTGTATCATTTCAAAGTTATCGTCCGTACCTTCCTCTTTGTCTAGCAGAATGCGGATGATGGGAATGCCGCCTTGTTTCAACACAAAGGTCTTTGGTTTCCTTTTCATTTGTTGCCGGGCCTTTTTGATGTCCTGAACGTTTATCCCTTCGTATGGCCTGACTTTTTGTCGTGGTGCCCCATGGAAGGGTCCACAGACTTGGCTTTCTTCAGATTTGGCCATGGCCGATAGTTTAGAATGCTTCATTGTGGGTGATCAGACGGCCGAAATAATTATGGGTGTACCGAACTGATTAATTTGAATACTATGACAGTAGGGTAGCGGAACTATGCGGTGTTATCTCATGGCTTCCATCCCGAGGACTATTTTATAGTCGTCCTGGGGTGCCACAGTGAAAGAGACGCGTCCCTTTCATGGACCTAGCTGAACTGTCACATCTTTTGCGAATCTGACCGTTGGCTGGGCGGTTCGGTTGACGGTTTCCATCAACTGCCGTAACGGTTCTGTTTTCAAATTCAATTTTCCTGCCTCGCTAACCTCTATGAAATTATGCATCACGCTCGTGTCGATCATGGCGCGGCTTTTCTGACCGTTGATAAGCACGTCCACATATAATAAGTCATTTCAAGGTGACGGTTGGGAAATGGCGCCAAGTATTTTAAGCGACCCCATCTGTAGCGCATGATCGTCGCTGTCCGAGTGCTCCTCTATGTCTTCGGCACCTTCGCCTAAGAAAATAGCGCTGAGTTTGCCATACTTAGGGCAATTAATAAATTTGTGATCTCCTTGACATACAAAACAACGTAAAGGACCCCTGTCGCGCCTCCACTCTTCCGAGTGATAACCCTGTCCCTTTTGTCGGTCATGAGTCCGCGGAAGCGAGTTTATTCTCTCCTTACCTTTGTCTTTTGTTGGATTTCGGTTTTTGGGTTTCTTTTCGTGCAACGCCTTGACAAAAGCGATAGCTTCGTCGAGTGTCACTGGGTTTCGCTGGTGGACCTCAGCTTTTGCCCACCCCATGAGTCCGTCCTTGAAGTAGAAGAGGGCTTGATCATTGCCTAAGTCCAGAATTTAAAGGAGGAGTACCGTGAACTCTTCCACGTACTCTCGGATGGTACGAGTGTGGCGTAAGACCCATAGCTTGCCTAGGGCCTCGTGAATCACGTTTGCAGGGTAGAACTGTCTTCTGAACTCTCGGACAAACTCATCCCACGTACCTAAGACGATGGATCCCCTTGCCCGACCTGCCGACTTGCGCCTCCACCAAACCCCGGCGTTATCGGTGTGGTAAAGCGATGCGGTACGTATCTGAGTATCCTCATCCCGTATGTTTAGTAACTCGAAGTATTGTCCCATTTGCCACAGGAAGTTATCAACTTCCTTGGCGGGCCTATTTATAATGTTTGATGTAGGAGGGGCCGAAGAAACACGTCCCTTCGCCTCCCAGCTGACTCTTTGCTGCCTTGGACGGTGCTAGATTGCGGCTGGAGCAGTTAATGCAGGACGCCAAGGAAGTTGATAAATTCCTGTGGCAAATGGGACAATACTTCAAGTTACTAAACATACGGGACGAGGAGACTCGGATACGTACCGCATCGCTTTACCTCACTGATAACGTTGGGCTTTGGTGGAGGCGCAAGTCGGCAGATCATGCAAGGGGAGCTATCGTCTTAGGTACGTGGGACGAGTTTGTCCAAGAGTTTAGAAGACAGTTTTACCCCGCAAACATGGTTCACGAGGCCCTGGGCAAGCTACGAGTCTTACGCCACACTCGTACCATCCAAGAGTACGTGGAAGAGTTCACGATACTCCTCCTTCAAATTCCGGACTTAGGCTATGATCAAGCCATCTTTTATTTCAAGGACGGACTCATGGGGTGGGCAAAAGCCGAGGTCCACCGGCGAAACCAAGTGACACTCGACGAAGCTATCACTTTTGTCGAGGCGTTGCACGAAAAGAAACCCGAAAACCGAAATCCATCAAAAGACAAAGGTAAGGAGAGAATAAACTCGCCTCCGCAGACTCGTGACCGACAAAAGGGACATGGTTCTCTCTCGGAAGAGTGGAGGCGCGATAGGGGTCCTTTACGTTGTTTTGTATGTCAAGGAGACCACAAATTTATAAATTGCCCTAAGTATGGAAAACTCAGCGCTATTTTCTCAGGCGAAGGTGCCGAAGACATAGAGGAGCATTCGGACAGCGATGATGGCGCGCTACAGATGGGGTTGTTTAAAATACTTGGCGCCATTTCCCAACCGTCACCTTCAAACGACTTATTATATGTGGACGTGCTTATCAACGGTCAGAAAAGCCGCGCCATGATCGACACGGGCGCGACGCATAATTTCATAGAGGTTCGCGAGGTGCGAAAATTGAATTTGAAAATGGAACCGTAATGGTAGTTGATGAAAACCGTCAACCGAACCGCCCAGCCAACGGTCGGATTCGCAAAAGATGTGACAGTTCGGCTAGGTCCGTGGAAGGGACGCGTCTCTTTCACTGTGGCACCCCTGGACGACTATAAAATAGTCATCGGGATGGAAGCCATGAGACAACACCGCATAGTTCCGCTACCCTACTGTCACAGTATTCAAATTAATCAGTCCGGTAAACCCATAATTATTCCGCCCGTTCGATCACCCACAATGACGCGTTCTAAACTATCGGCCATGGCCAAATCCGAAGAAAGCCAAGTCGGTGGACCCTTCCATGGGGCACCGCGACGAAAAGTCCGGCCATACGACGGGATAAGCGTTCAGGATACCAAAAAGGCCCGGCAACAAATGAAAAGGAAACCAAAGACCTTTGTGCTGAAACAAGGCGGCATTCCCATCATCCGCATTCTGCTAGACAAAGAGGAAGGTACGGACGATAACTTTGAAATGATACAGATATTAGAGAACGCTTACGGGGACAAGGGCAGTGCTGAGGTCGACACAGGATTCAGTGGGGGAGGGTGTGACGCCCTTTAGCTTCCCGCGAACAAATCTAAGGCGCTCGCTGAGGTTTTTGCCCAAACGGAGCAGTCCCAAGACGTTTGCATATGTTGTCGCCCTACGAATGGACCTCGATGCCCAAGTAGCAGCCCTACCAGCGTGACACATGTTTGGGAGACAACTTGGTACATTTCCGAAGACACCGAGACGCAACGGAGCAACAGCAGCACGTCCAAAGCCGTTCACAAGTCCAGCCGCAATCCTGCAACCGTTACGAAAGAGGAAGGGACACAGAGCAGCCGCCAGAGCATTAACTCTAGCATTAATAGCTCCAGCCGCAATCTAGCACCGTCCAAGGCAGTGAAGAGTCAGCTGGGAGGCGAAGGGACGTGTCTCTTCGGCCCCTCCCGCAGCAAACATTATAAATAGGCCTCATTTCCCCCATTCCCAATTCGATTCTTGCTTGCTTGTTGCTGAGACATAGCACATAAATAAGCACCCCCTTAGGACGAGAGTTTTCTAAGTAATTCTGGACCTAAGCAGCATGCACGTCCTACCCTTTTTCTATTGTAATCGTTGGGTCGTAATAATAAGCTTTCCTTTCCGATTACTTTACGAGTCGCACCCTCGA